TTTTTTTTTCCCCCTGAGAATGTAAATTTATCTGAGAAATAACTATGTTATGATTCGTAGTTGTGAAGTTGTAAGTTATACATGAAAGGAATTAAGTTTATATTTTTAAATTGCAGTAAATACATATGCTTGTTTATTCTGTTTTTAGATTAACATTGACCCAGAAATAAGTATTATGAATTACGCAGAAACTGATGGTAATTTTCTAATGCTTTTCTAGTTTTTTTGATCTGGGCTTTTCTAAGAAGGTAAATTATGTCGTAGAAGTGACCCTAAACCCCTTTTTTAAATCTAAAGAGATATGGAAAATACATATTTTTCATATTTTAATGCCTTGGACCTGTTGTTTGCTTTTTCAAATTATATCAAGATTTAACTCCTACAATTACTTACTCCAATTACTTACTCGTTGAGAAAATACCTTACGAGAAGGGCTGATTTGCAGATTAGGAATTAGCATATGGACTCGCTTTATGTCATAGTCCGGTACCTGATAAATCTGCCACTAATATGACACTAGCTAACCAAAGTGGATAACATACAGGCATGTAAATCCGTTATCCCCCGTTAACAAATAGCAGATGAGAGCAAGAATTTGAAGTCTCGAACTTTTGATCCATCCTATATCAGTTGTGGGAGGATCGTGCAGCTAGTTTACTTAGGTTTTGGTAGCTACTGGTTTAAGATGTTTGAATCCGTTGGTCGTTAGCCGACTATTTTACTAATGGAAATGGACTAACTCAGTCTTAAGTTCCTATAGGAGGTATTCGCCTAGTCGAATCTGAACTTGTGGACCGGGGCATTACATAGTGTGATTTGTTTGTTTTGAGTAGCAACCATTTATAAAAGTGGGGTGGTAACAATTTGGCTTGATTGATTAGTACCTAAATACATTTGCAATGCCAAGGGTAGCAACTACTAGTAATTTGGTTTACAGATCATCTTTAAATGGCTATTATATTTTCATGTCATTTTGTGATTGAATATCAGATCCAGCTGTTGAAAATGGCGGATAACAATGCTCCACCCGAGAACCATGATTCCTCTGTTGATGCTAATGTACCTTCTGAGAATGAAAACGAAGCATCAATTGATGCTTTAGCACGGAAGGTCCAAGAGTCTCTCTCCCATGCGAAAAAGCACAAGTTTTGGGAAACCCAGCCTGTTGGCCAGTTCAAGGATCTTGGTGACTCAAGTCTACCTGAAGGCCCGATTGAGCAACCGACACCCCTGTCTGAAGTGAAGCAAGAGCCCTTTAATCTTCCCACTCCTTATGAGTGGATTACTTGCAATATGGACTCAGACGAAATGTGTAACGAGGTGTATGCTCTCTTGACCAATAATTATGTTGAGGATGATGAGAGCATGTTCAGATTCAATTATTCGAAGGAGTTTCTTCTTTGGGCACTTCGCCCTCCAGGTTATTATAGGAGTTGGCACATTGGAGTGAGGGTCAAGAGTTCGAAAAAATTGGTCGCTTTCATTACTGGGGTCCCTGCAAAAATCAGGGTTCGTGACACCGTTATTGTCATGGCAGAGGTAAATTTTCTGTGCGTTCATAAGAAACTCAGGTCGAAAAGACTTGCTCCGGTCATGATCAAAGAGGTCACCCGGAGGGTCCATTTGGAGAATATCTGGCAAGCAGCTTATACTGCTGGGGTCGTTCTTCCAACGCCTATAACTACTTGTCAATACTGGCATAGATCATTAAATCCTAAGAAGCTTATCGATGTTGGATTTTCTAGGCTTGGTGCAAGAATGACAATGAGCCGGACGATAAAGTTGTATAAGTTACCAGAACAAACCGTAACTCCTGGGTTTCGAAAGATGGAACCCCACGACGTCCCTGCAGTTACTCGTCTGCTTAGAAATTACTTGAAGTTGTTTGTTGTTGCACCGGATTTTGATGAGGATGATGTAGAGCACTGGATGCTTCCAAAGGAGAATGTTGTGGATAGTTATTTGGTAGAAAGCCCAGATACTCATGAAATCACAGACTTCTGTAGTTTTTACACTCTACCGTCTTCTATACTTGGTAACCAAAACCATTCTACTTTAAAGGCTGCTTATTCTTACTACAATGTGTCGACGAAGACTCCATGGCTTCAGTTGATGAATGATGCTCTTATTGTGGCGAAGAAGAATGGTTTTGATGTTTTCAATGCTTTGGATGTTATGCATAATGAGACTTTCTTGAAGGAGCTTAAGTTTGGTCCGGGAGACGGAAAACTCCACTACTATCTCTACAACTATCGTCTAAAGAATGTTTTGAGACCATCAGAACTCGGGCTTGTGCTCTTATAAATTGTCAGGGCAAAGAATTTTCTAACTTGAACTAATTTTTCTCATTCCATGGTTGATTTCCTCCGTTGTACTTTGTTGATTATTGATTAAAACCTCAACATCCAAACCCTTAATGCCCTCTTTCATTTCAAGAATCCCAGCTGAAATATTTGGACCCGCAAAGTCGATTTCGAAAATCTTGATCAATGTATTGGGATATTTGGCTTGAATTTCATTACTTACATTTTTGAGTTTGCTCAATTTTCTGCTAACTAGTATTAGGTTTAGACCTTTTTTGGCAAGTTGGAAAGCAAAAGCTTTGCCTATGCCATCAGTTGAGCCAGTGATGATCAGGGCCCATGATCCATAATTCTTGAGATTTTTGGGTTTTCTGAAAAAATGTTATGAAGATCCATTTGAGAAGGAAAATTGTGTTCTTGAAGATAGAGAGAAAACCTAGAAGAGAAAGAAGAATTATCCACACAAAGGTTGTGTTTTTAGATGAATAAAGCAGGTTGACAGCATTTCTTGAACCTTGGGAAGACCTAATTTCAAAGGTTATAGTTTGTTGAGGCTCATTATAAGCGTTCTCCGAACGTATGGAGAAAACTGCAATTAATATTTCCTTTTTATTCTCCGTTTTCTTGGAAGAAAGAGCCTTCTACTAGAATCACGAAATTGGATCCACGCATCAGTTCCTTTTAATTAAAAGAACATGACTCAGCTACCGGTTCTTAACCTTTTAATTAAAAGAACATGACTCAGCTCCCGGTTCTCGAAATGATTTACAAACCTAAACCAATTTCCTTGATAGGCAAAAGAAGAGCATAATATTGTTGGGTCTGATAATTTTATTTATATGATATGATATATTTATAAGTGAGATTATAAAAAATGCTTTAGTTTGAAGAAGTCACTCTAATTTATAAATCATCTAGTAAGAAGCATACGTGTTGATTATGTGGATCATATTCTTGTATATCTAATAGAGACGTAGATAAGTGGAGAGTGTACAATATTATAAGGGTTCTTTCGGGATAAGGTAGGTGCGAAACCAGAAAATAATATTAGGTTGGGCTGAAATTTAAAAAGCTTTGAATGAACTTACGCCACAAGAAATCGAGTTTCGGAGGCTATTTTCGTGACATTCACGATCAAAAGTATACGATACTCAATGAAATAAAAAAAAGTTTAGATGCCTTACATTAAGATGTTCCACTAATTTTTTGTATTTTTTTTACTAAATAGAAAATCGATGCTTATCTTAAAAAATATAAACTAACCGAATCACGATAGATTTAAGCAAAAATACATATCCACCAATGAACATTTGAAAAATAGCTTAATGAGTACTCTACTAGTTCCTTTGATAGCTCGTCTTTCCAAACAACTGAAAGTTTTAACAAATATTGTTTTTATTGTCGATGTAGATTACTTTATAAATAAATAAGTTTTAACACATATTCTTTTTATTGTCAATATAAAATCTATAGTAAGTTATTTATTTTGATCATAATATCCATTTTATGGTCAAAATAAGTATTTTTTTTGAAATATGAGTGAGTAATGAATGAAAACATACGTAATTTAGAAAAATACATAGTGTCTCTAACTACTAAAATAAGTAATTTACTTTTAGATCTAATTAATACAAATTGTGTATAATAAAATTTACTTAATAATTATGAGTAAATTTTAGTCAAACATGCATTAAATAGAATATCTAATTTGACAATAAAATATTCACATTTCATGAATGTCTTGAAAAGAATAATTAATAATTGTAGTGTCTTTAGCCCCCGTTTGGCCCCCATTTTTTGTAATGAAAATGGGAGGAATAGTGTTTTGTTGAAAAAATGAGTGGTTGAAAAAGAAGGAAAAATTTTCGATTTACGTGTAATATTATTTTATGGAAGATTGTGTGGTTGAAAATAGGAGAGATAAAAATAGAATGTAATGAAATGTAATTTAATGGGGGCTTAATATAATTTGAATAATTGAGCATTAGACTTGGGTTGAGATTTAAATTAGATTTGGATTAGTGCTAACATCTGGGCCACAATTCTAAAATCTTGGCTGAGAAAATAATATGGGCTGAGGAGCATTGCTAGCTACAGTCGAGCAGTGCCCCCCCCCCCCCCCCCCCCCCCTACCTTCACCTTTGGAATTAGGGTTCTATACAAATAACCTTATGTAATTATATAAGTACTTAGCAGATTATTGATCATGCCATACAATAGTAAACGTAGGCACATTGTCGAACCATTTAAATTCTTGTGTGTCGATCTTATTGATCTTCTTGTTTTTTATTTTATTGTTCACATTTTGTTCAATAAAGTGAAGAAGAAATATTTAGTTTGTATTGAATGAAACGTATATCATGTAGATGTTTAATATACACAAGATGTTGAGATCGTACGCGATTACACAAAATAAAAAAAGACTTGTATCCAATTCAACATAGGAAATCTACTCATAATAGAATATTTTCAAGGTAAGAAGTTGATTTCTTTCTATTGAATTATAAATGCATCCATCTACAGATTTGAATCACAAAAAACTTCAAAAACTATGAAAAAGATAGTCACATAAAATTATTCAAGTATGAATTCCATACCATAGATTGGGAGCAAATTCACAGTTGTGCTGTACTATTTTCGGCTAGAATCAAAGCTGTCTTTTTTACGGCTTTTATTTCATAGTGGGGCCCGAGCTCAAAGTATTGAGACATATACAGAGACACACAAAGAGAGTGTTGTATTGTGTACTGCTAGGCTTAATTATTCTATATTGGTTCCTTCGTATCAATAATTCTCATAAAGAATTTTAGAAGGTTGGTTATTTATTTATTTATTGTTTGAGGCATCAGATCATGTAGTGGCAAAGTGTGTTGGATGTATAAAACCCGATCATACATACTGTATACTTTTTCTTTCGACTTTTACTGTCTTTGGAAATTTTGTATTATTGTGAATTCATATATAATCTATTCGGCCACTACTATTTTTTCCTCATATAGAAAGAGTATTAGGATGAGCATTTTCGTAGTATAAAGAATACAAAGATAGGCATGCATGAGTCAAGACTAAAACATTGTATCCTCATCAACTTCCCTATAATGAGATGCTGCAATGACATGAAGATTATTCAAGTGGATACGAGAGAGTAAATCACTCTAAATTCTGGGTTCTTACCTGCTTTTGATTTTCTTTATTTTGCATTATTATTGCTCTCGATAATATAGTTCTAAGGATTGATCCATGACAAAATGGACGTATTTCTCATAATAAGAGTGAACCTATAAACGTTTGTGTATCATTATCTCAATGCATTTCTTAGTATTGCAATCAATTTAATTTTTGATATGTGCACGCTTTAAAGAGTTTTTGGTAGATGAAGTGCATTACTTTTTGGGGTCTACAAAGTTACAAACTCTTGATTAAATGGCACACAAATTAGCTTCCAACTTTCTATAGTTGACTTTTGGTTGTTGGAGTACTAGTTTCACCTACAAAGTAAAAGTTATAAATTACTCGTTTCAAAAAAGAAGTTATAAAGCTTATGCCGTAGAAGCGGACATTAGGCTATTGGTCTTTTATCTGCATCTGGTCTTTTTTTTTAAATAAAATAATTGGAAAAATCTGATAAAAGTTGATAAAAGTTATGGATCCCATGAAATTTATGATTGAAAATAACTTTGGAGAAAAATGAGTTTTTAAAAATGGAACCAAATAGGGACCTAGTAAAAATAAAGTATGTAATACGTAGTATAATCTTTATTTTAGCGCTTGTTATTTAACTGGAAAGGTACAAAGTTTTAATTATTGTGATTTCATAAGTTTGATAATATAGAGAACAATGATATTACGATAATCATAATTTCTTCGGTTCATAAGAGGAATTACCAGAAAATATAAACTTCATTGTACTAGAAGATAATGTGAAGAGCATTTCATTGGGAAGATTAAATAAAATTTCAATTTTATTATTTTTAAATTGCTTTTCTGTAAATAAATATTGTTTTATGACATACTTTAATTAAAATTAAAACAAAATCATTTGCATTCTACAAAATATCCTAATATTTTTAATAGGTTGAGCACTTTTCTCAAAGAAAAATAAAATAGCAAGATCGTATAAATAAGTTTGATTCTTTGTTAGACCATAAGACATCATGTGTGTATGATGTTGGTAACTCATTCAGTACGAAAACACAATCTTTCTTATTTTTCTCATCCCTTATTCCTTTCTTCCTCATTGTTCCTATGCCCCCGCAACCAATGGCGGAGCCAAATTTTAATGTTTTTCGCGAAAGATTTTGAGGGACAAAATATACAAGTAATTTTTATATATTAAGCCCTCGTTTGAGCCACATGTTTGTCAAAAAATGCATTTTTGAATAACGCATTGATGGAAATGTATGGTTAAAAAGCAAAGAAAAATCATGAATTTGCGTGTGATCTTATTTTATAAAAGAATGTGTGGTTGAAATGGGATCAAATCATTGTTGAATAATATATTTTGATAGGAAAAATGGGGCTCAAACAAGGGCTAAAAAAATAATTCTATGCAAATTTAAAGAAAATTTCATATGTAGTGGAGCGGTAGCTATGCCACTGCCTTCAACCAAAATCATTAGTTATTGTTCAAGTTCTTGAAGTACAGATTGGAAAATGTTGCTACTCAACAAAATATTCTAAAAGACATCAAAATTATAGATTCAATATGGTCTTAACTAGTTGTCTGTTTACCACAAATCAAAATTCAAGAGTGGCTATGTACCAAGTTGAAGTGTTCATGAATACTCAATAAGAATAAGTGAATTATAAGATCAAAATGAACATCACATGTATATATATATATATATATATATATATTGGGACTAAAATTTTGAAAAATATAGAATAAAGCAAAAACAATGAGAAAAACTTCGAAATTTCATTCTTCTTATAAGGATTACATAGACACTTCGCTTATAGGCTGCTCATTTGCCTTCTTATTTCGACAATAAGGACATACTCATCATTGAAATAAGTCAAGAAGTGCTTATATATCCGTAAACATTTGGCACAGTTACACACGCTGTAAATTCACAACATTACAACTATTATTAGCTCAAAAATTTGGGGAAAAAAAAGGCACTTCGTCACTGGAATGTTTTAAACAACATATATTGAGAATAATAACACTAAGCATGCACAGACACGCACCACAAAAAAAAATAAAAAATAAAAAAATAAGGGACTCGACAAGGAGAAATTAAGTACGATAAACAAAGATAGGACACCGCTACCCTTCATTAATCCAATCGCCTGAGGATTAACAATCAATGGAAGTCAACCATTTGCCCCAGCATCAACCCTAATTACAAATTGATCCATGTAGGCCAACAAAACTAGCATTGGAACTATTGCAAATGATAATTTCATTGTACTGTCTACAACTCATATACTTTAAGAAATTTGATGTGTTTGAAAGATTTGTCCATATATATATAGAAGGCGTATATATAATACAAAATCTAACCAGAGATGAGTATTCTCTGAACTCAATAATTACATTGTAAATAAGGAAAAGAATATTAAATACATATTCCATTGTTTAAATATAAATATAAATATTCCAGTAGGATGGTGATTGTCCGCATAAATCATGACAAATCTTCTAGATCATATTTAATTGTTAGGCTTTGCTATGTGTGCACCAGGGGCGGACCCATTAAGGGCCGGGCGGGATCAGCCTCCCTCACTCAATTTCAAGAAACCTTCGATTGGACTTTTTTAAATATAAATTTTCAGATTTTTTCATTTCTTTCACAATTTATTTTAGCCTATTTTCTATCTCGCCCCCATTGAACTATAAATTTGGATCCGCCCTTGTAAATAGTTACATGTATTCGTTAAAAATTCAACATGTATTTATTCTAAACTATCTTGTAAATAATAAAGAGGCAATAGATGAGCATTTAGCTTTAGTATAAGATCAATACATAGTTGCTTTAAGCGGTTTAAATAGTTATTTTTATAAATAAATACTTGTTTGACGACAACCACTTATCTCCATCTTCAAGCAAAATGCTTTTGCTATCCAAATATAGCTTTTATGCTTTAAAGAGTCTTCCCAAACACACATTTAGAATATGTCTATCAATGTGTTTATAAACAATGATATTTAGGCTCTGTTTGCCCTACTTTTTTAAGAATAAATTTTATAATAGCAATTTTTTTGGAGAATATACATGATTAAAAAGTAGAAAAAAATTTGAATTTACGTGTAAAATTATTTTATTAAAAAATGGTGATTGAAAATGAGTTTAGGAAGGAAAAAAACAGAAAGAGTTTTTAAATAACGAGGTCAAACAAGGGCTCGTAAACAAGAGCAAATGAGTGGTGTAGAAGTAATAATATTTGTACATCCTACAAAATGTGTTAATATTGAACAAAAGTATTTTTTGATCAAGGTATTTGTAAACACTTAAAAACGGATATCCGACCATACTCTTAATTTTCCTAATATTATTCAAATAAAGGAGAAAATATAAGATAAAGGTCCTAGACTAATAAGCATTGGATAAAGTAGGTCCTCAACCTTTTTTAACATTTTAATTTTAAATTTTTAAAGTTTATAGCTCATTAATTCTCGATAAACAGACTTTTTATTCATTTCAATGTTATAAAAATAGTTCATAAAACAAGTAAATTCAAATTATTATAATAGAAAATGTTAAAAAAAGGAAATACATAAAAAGAAAAAAAAACGGTAGAAAATATTTTTTCCAATTATTATTTATGTCAATTGTTGTACAAAAAAGGTCTATCAAAAATAAAGTATTATCAATTTTTTAAAAGTTAAAAACTGAAATAAAAATAAATAAATAAATAAATAAAATAAAATAAAATAACGAGTTACATATCTATTTACACAAATTTAACCCTAAAGATAACTTCTTCAATTATTCCTTGAAATATTTAGCATATATTCCAAAGTTATTGATTTAGCATGTCCTAGGATGTTAATTTTTAGAAATAAAATGTCCAAAATACCCCCCGACGGATTTGTCAACTTTCGACTCAACCCCCTCAATTCATTCGTAGTCTTTATGCTATTTCTACATAATTGTATAACCTATCTAAAGATTGATAACATAGAAAAAGAGAAGGAGAGAAAAAAATAATAATAAAAAAAAAAAAAAAAAAAAAAAGGAGGGGGGAGAATGAAGCCAGTTATTCACATAATTATCTACAAGTAGTATTTCTCCTATTCAAAACGTTTGCTTTGAGTTTTGATAAGAATGAGAGCATAATTTATTCATTTATATACCACGTAAGGGCCCCACCCAACCCTTGGGATCATTGATTAATGAAAACCTCTTTGCACTATCAAATCTAAAATTCCTCTCTCTGGGTCTCTGTATTTCTGTTAGTGGGTAAATTTCTAGATCTCTCAATTCTTCAATAAAGGGTACGGTTTCTGAATTCAATATTAATTTTGTATTTCTTACTTTAATAGCTTCAGATCTTAAATATATGTTTTTTGCTTTTTGCTAATTAACCCATTATTTAGCTGGCGTGAAACCGAAGGAAATTTTCGGTCTATCTGATAATTTTGATCTACTTTTTTTTTCCCCCTGAGAATGTAAATTTATCTGAGAAATAACTATGTTATGATTCGTAGTTGTGAAGTTGTAAGTTATACATGAAAGGAATTAAGTTTATATTTTTAAATTGCAGTAAATACATATGCTTGTTTATTCTGTTTTTAGATTAACATTGACCCAGAAATAAGTATTATGAATTACGCAGAAACTGATGGTAATTTTCTAATGCTTTTCTAGTTTTTTTGATCTGGGCTTTTCTAAGAAGGTAAATTATGTCGTAGAAGTGACCCTAAACCCCTTTTTTAAATCTAAAGAGATATGGAAAATACATATTTTTCATATTTTAATGCCTTGGACCTGTTGTTTGCTTTTTCAAATTATATCAAGATTTAACTCCTACAATTACTTACTCCAATTACTTACTCGTTGAGAAAATACCTTACGAGAAGGGCTGATTTGCAGATTAGGAATTAGCATATGGACTCGCTTTATGTCATAGTCCGGTACCTGATAAATCTGCCACTAATATGACACTAGCTAACCAAAGTGGATAACATACAGGCATGTAAATCCGTTATCCCCCGTTAACAAATAGCAGATGAGAGCAAGAATTTGAAGTCTCGAACTTTTGATCCATCCTATATCAGTTGTGGGAGGATCGTGCAGCTAGTTTACTTAGGTTTTGGTAGCTACTGGTTTAAGATGTTTGAATCCGTTGGTCGTTAGCCGACTATTTTACGAATGGAAATGGACTAACTCAGTCTTAAGTTCCTATAGGAGGTATTCGCCTAGTCGAATCTGAACTTGTGGACCGGGGTATTACATAGTGTGATTTGTTTGTTTTGAGTAGCAACCATTTATAAAAGTGGGGTGGTAACAATTTGGCTTGATTGATTAGTACCTAAATACATTTGCAATGCCAAGGGTAGCAACTACTAGTAATTTGGTTTACAGATCATCTTTAAATGGCTATTATATTTTCATGTCATTTTGTGATTGAATATCAGATCCAGCTGTTGAAAATGGCGGATAACAATGCTCCACCCGAGAACCATGATTCCTCTGTTGATGCTAATGTACCTTCTGAGAATGAAAACGAAGCATCAATTGATGCTTTAGCACGGAAGGTCCAAGAGTCTCTCTCCCATGCGAAAAAGCACAAGTTTTGGGAAACCCAGCCTGTTGGCCAGTTCAAGGATCTTGGTGACTCAAGTCTACCTGAAGGCCCGATTGAGCAACCGACACCCCTGTCTGAAGTGAAGCAAGAGCCCTTTAATCTTCCCACTCCTTATGAGTGGATTACTTGCAATATGGACTCAGACGAAATGTGTAACGAGGTGTATGCTCTCTTGACCAATAATTATGTTGAGGATGATGAGAGCATGTTCAGATTCAATTATTCGAAGGAGTTTCTTCTTTGGGCACTTCGCCCTCCAGGTTATTATAGGAGTTGGCACATTGGAGTGAGGGTCAAGAGTTCGAAAAAATTGGTCGCTTTCATTACTGGTGTCCCTGCAAAAATCAGGGTTCGTGACACCGTTATTGTCATGGCAGAGGTAAATTTTCTGTGCGTTCATAAGAAACTCAGGTCGAAAAGACTTGCTCCGGTCATGATCAAAGAGGTCACCCGGAGGGTCCATTTGGAGAATATCTGGCAAGCAGCTTATACTGCTGGGGTCGTTCTTCCAACGCCTATAACTACTTGTCAATACTGGCATAGATCATTAAATCCTAAGAAGCTTATCGATGTTGGATTTTCTAGGCTTGGTGCAAGAATGACAATGAGCCGGACGATAAAGTTGTATAAGTTACCAGAACAAACCGTAACTCCTGGGTTTCGAAAGATGGAACCCCACGACGTCCCTGCAGTTACTCGTCTGCTTAGAAATTACTTGAAGTTGTTTGTTGTTGCACCGGATTTTGATGAGGATGATGTAGAGCACTGGATGCTTCCAAAGGAGAATGTTGTGGATAGTTATTTGGTAGAAAGCCCAGATACTCATGAAATCACAGACTTCTGTAGTTTTTACACTCTACCGTCTTCTATACTTGGTAACCAAAACCATTCTACTTTAAAGGCTGCTTATTCTTACTACAATGTGTCGACGAAGACTCCATGGCTTCAGTTGATGAATGATGCTCTTATTGTGGCGAAGAAGAATGGTTTTGATGTTTTCAATGCTTTGGATGTTATGCATAATGAGACTTTCTTGAAGGAGCTTAAGTTTGGTCCGGGAGACGGAAAACTCCACTACTATCTCTACAACTATCGTCTAAAGAATGTTTTGAGACCATCAGAACTCGGGCTTGTGCTCTTATAAATTGTCAGGGCAAAGAATTTTCTAACTTGAACTAATTTTTCTCATTCCATGGTTGATTTCCTCCGTTGTACTTTGTTTTCTTCCATGGTTCGAGTTAAACTTAGTGTACAACGAACGATAAATTTTGTCACTGAACATTTGGCCCAAGTTCCATGGGCGAATTATTTGTTTTATGCCAAGACTTGAACCTTCAAAAACATGAGTTTTACACGGATCTCACATTTCTATCTGGGTACGGAAGGCATGTATAGATAGACTGTGTTTGATAAAAACTACTAGTTATCATATACCTCAAATAAAACGTTTCTTAAAACCCCAGAAACAGTTAAAGAGGTAGAGCCTACCTTCCAAGCATCCCTTAATTCTGTGCAACTGATTTTGAAGATTTACTAGTCAAGGGGCATAAGCCTGTATCAACATCTGCTACAATGTAAAAGACGAGTTCCCTTTCTGGATCGGCTTCAGTCTTTATTGAACTTCAGACGGCCTAAGGCAAGATAAAAGTTTTGCCCTGTGAACCTATAAAGAAAATACAGAAACAAAGAACATGACTTTATTAATGAATAAATCTGTCATGGTCTAAGAAATACAATAATGATGACAAATATTGCGAAATAATGTTAAATTATAGTAACGCTCTTACATTGTTCAAGAATCTCTTTAAAGTATAGCAGAACTGAATCTGCATCTTCAGCCATTTCTGAGATCCTTTCAGCCTCTTTAACCGCTTCTGCTACCATAAGGGATTTATTTTGTGCTTCAGCAATCTTCTGGGCAGCTATTGCAGAAGCATCTTTGATTTTTTCAGAGATGTTTGATGGCGAATTCTGTGATGGACTTGGTTGGACTTCTCTTTCTTTCGGCATAGGTGTTTCAGTGCCCAAAGCAGCATCTTTAATCTTGTAGCGGTCCTGAACCTGCACATCACCTCATGTCCAACAAACAAATTGCAAAGTTATCAGTAATACAACAATCCAAGTGGCCAAAGGAGTGTGAGGTAGAAAATTGCGACCAATTTTGGCAAATTCAACTCAATAAACTTCCACTCCATCTGTTTGTTATCAGATACATAAATCATATTTTATCGTTATCTGCTGTCTAAGGGCGATACATGAATAAAAAATGATGCTAAATTTCGAGACTAGATTAACTCACGAAAGATAAACAAGAATCAAATCTTAAGAAATTTGGGTTTCTTTCTTTTACCAAGATCTGTCTACCGCTATATCTATTGGAAAGAATCAATGCAAGCATAGCTTTTGCAACTGCAACATGTCAAGTTAATTTTCCTCTACGTGTCCATCTTCTAACATTTTTTACTAAAATTACATTACATTTGGGAATGAGAGCTTCTTTAGCAGTTTAGCTCTAAGCAAGACATGCTCCAACAATCTAAGTAGACTTTCCTTCATTTGTCCTTCAGATTTCAAATTTAACTTCACGCAAATTTAAATTGGTGAATTTCATAGTATGCAGATATGTGCCAATCTCAATGCCATGAAAAAGGCAAAAAAAATAAAATTAATGACATTTTATGCAAATGGGAAGAAAAAGGATGCTACTACGAATAGACCTGATAGAAAACATCAAAATCCTACAATTATGAAGCCAAAGCAGAGTATTGACATCTTCGCCATACCAATCTTTTAGAGAACCAATCCACTTCTTAAACCAAGAACTTCAAAGCCACAATCCAAAAATAGCATTAGATAATCAAATAAAGAGGGATGGCATTATCGAAAGATTGTGAAAAATCACCTTATCAAGTTTTCCTTTCAAAACTAGTCTCCTCAGAACTGAAATCATTAACTTTCTGAAATTCTGCGGCACCTTATACTTCCGCTGTCAAAAATATAATATTTGAGGTTAACTGAAAAAGCATTTTCTCAGATTTGGCATGCAAATCAATATTGCACTCCCAACAGAAGTTTCTCTTCCAATGATAGACACTAAGATACCAAAAATCAAATGCATTCGTCAAGTGGCTCAACTGGAATATGTCGAAAGTTAACATGATGTACACAGTTCACTCAAGTCGTTTGAGATTTCAATTAAAGTAAAACACATCCAATTGGTTTACTCACAAGTCTTCTGGATTTCAGTTAAAGTAAAATGCATCCAATCTTCTAAAGTCGTATATCGAAATTACAAATAATTTTTTTAGATGTAAATTTAAACTTGATTCGAAAGGAGTAAACCATAAACAGAGGGTAACTTGATTTGAAAGGAGTAAACTGTAAACAGAGGGTGTAACCTAATTCACTAAAAAATCCACACAAGAATCTACATTTAAGTTGGGATGAAGTAGGAGCTCCAAAACACTGACAAAGGTACTTTTTGATTTTCAAAGTGAATTTTCACAGCCTTCAAATCAGTTCAATTCTTAAACTCTTCCTTGAACTTTAATTTGATATAACTCTTTTACAGATTGATACATGAGATTATATTCAAACTGATCAAACAGCCAAGCATAACAGCCAAGGTTGAATAATAGAGGAACATAAGAATATCTGTCTAACCTCAATAAAGCCCACAATAGCACCACTATTGGATCCGTTGGGGTCCTTGATGGATGAAATTGCTTCAAAAATCATTGTCTTGTACCTGATAAGGAGCAAAACGCATTACATACATTAGTAAAAGTGGAAATTTGACAAATAAATAGCAACCTTTCTGAAAAGTGAAAGACAACAGGTCCATGGTTTAAATAAATCATGTAAACACGCATGCACGCAATAATTACAAATCATTAACAAAACGAAAATCAACAAAGAACTGGTTATCAATTCACACACAAAAACAAATGACACCAGAGTCTACTAAGCTGGACAACCTTTCCATTCAACATAAGAATGCCAATTGCTCATGTAAGAACATTAAAAATGCAAACGCTGCTTGCTCATATGAGGAAACCTATAAAACATGAATATTGCTGGCATGACTGGAAACAAAGAGCGTGCACTATAATGCACAGCGGTTTTACAACCAATGGTCATATCTAATCTAGAAATCAATATAATTCATTATGGGTAGAAAACAACAGATAATATCCTATGAGGTACCAAGAGATAATAAAATGATTAGAAGAAGTGCCCGAGAATAGCTTTAAAGGGGCAAAAAAGAATAGCACAAGAATGATAAAACGGTCCAGAATTTCCTTAGTTTAATATATGTTGAATATTTCCCTTCAATCCTCTTCTTTTCTTCTTTCTTCTTTCTTGCTATCTTTCTTTCTTTTATTTATTTATTTTTCTTCCCGGGGCATGTGTGTGTTTGAGGCAATCAAGGTAACAAGAAAAGGATAGGGAAAGCATACATTATAGCATTTTCCAGATCCAGTGATCTTTTAGAGGGATCACCGACAGCATTACCCACAGGAATTAAAGAAGCAGCAGCATTTTGAGCTCTGGCATTGGAGACAGCACCAGATGTAATTTTGTTTACTGCAGATCTATTACGCATGCTCCGCCATTTGTCCTGCTTAGATGAACCAAAAGGAGACTAATAAACACGAGGAACAACAGAAATAAGGAACCTTACACTGGCAGAAAAATCCCACCAAGATCCAGGTGGTCTTTTAACTATTTGACTTGAGTCCACATGAGAAACAGCCTTGACCAAAATTATTATACAATCTATGTCATGCACCATAAACTGACTCCAATATCTATCTTAAGACAATTTATAAAATATAATATTAAAGAAAACAGTCAAACACTTTCTTCTAAGGCCTTTAAAAGTTCACAACGGAGATTCACGTGGTGAATGCTGGGTAAAGTAACTAATTTCTGTTCATATGACTAGGTGAGGGAATCAGATGTTCCAAGGGCTTATAACAACATACGCTTTCGCGAGTTTCAATTTAAGTTGTTAGCATTTCTGTATGATGGAAAGGAATCTTGATTAGATACAATAGAACATCATTCTACGTAAAAAGTATTTTGCAGGAAATTTTCTAAATAGACTATTGCACCTATTTTAAAATGTGAATACATTATGCCTTTGATTTACGCTAAACTATTACTCACTATCTTTTTTATACTACTACTGTAGGCTAAAAACGATTATATTTAAAAATGATAAATTAAATACTAAAGTATTGTTCTTGAATTATCAAAGCAGAGCATTTTTTAATTATAAACTACTGATTACAATAAAATGTTCCAGGAGAGCAAAGCATGAGACTAAAAATATGAATAAATTTTTGCCTCGCCAACTAAAATAGGTACCATATCAACTGCCAGCTCAAAATTCAAATTTCAAGAATCATATTTAGCTAGAAGTGTAGAACTAGAAAAGTAAGAAAATATGTTTAATTCTCTTTCAAGGAAAAGAAGAAGAAGAAAATACATATGAATTATTTACGCATACATGGCAAAATTTGCTGCAATTTATTACCATCCATTTCAGTGTTAAAAAAAAAAAAAATCAATAACACAAAATCACGTGCTTTTCCTTTTACATGTGTTTTTTTTTTTTTTTTGGGTCGGGGGGTGGGGGGGATGTAATCATGTATGCTTCAAACAAAAACTTTAAAGTGTTCTCCAAATTAGAATTTAGAAGCAAGCCAGAGTGTTTGGTGGAAACACAAACTTCAAACGTACACTCGCGCACGCAAGAGTTCCAATTCTGTTACTCCAACTATATTTATTCCTGTACTATTTGTTACAAAAGGACTGCTTCAGTATTAATGTACTTAGAACCTTCTTTATTACACTGAGTCAATGTCATCCCTCCACATCACGTTCTCTCACTTCTTGAGTGGTGCCTTCAAGATCACACGATCACACGCATTTATGCTGTGTGTGCATGGGTGTGTAGTTGTTCGTGATCATGTATAATTTAAACAAATAAACTCCAAAATGGTGCTCCAATTAGAATTTAGAAGCAAGCCCTTGTATCTGGTGGAAACAAGCACTTGTGAATAAGCAATGGCAGTTCATCAATTCAGAAACATATATTCATACATATATGCACATATACACAGACATAAACATATATTGATTTGGGGGTTCCCCTGAACTATAACTCCCGGCAAAAAATAAAAAAATTCTACAAATAGAAAAAATAAAAAAAATTATCTCTCTCCGGCTCCGCCCCTAATACACACATACAGTCATGAGAGAGAGTAATAAAATTCAAAAACAGGAAATCACAAACACAGAGTTATCGATGATATATACAGCACAATTGAACAAACAAAGAAATTATACGGCGATCGCATGAGGTGTAAAAAATGAGAAAACCTTGAGCTGGACGTTGGAACGATTAGCGAGACGTGGCGCGAACTCGGGGTCCTTAAGAATGTTCTTCCACTGGCCAGTGCCGAACTTCGCCACTGCTGCCGTTATGGCTTCCTCTTCCTCCAACGTCCACTTCAGTTTCGGGTTCCCCATTTCACTCTTACCTACAAAAAGACCAAAAAAGAAAAAATCACGATTACCAACTCTTTAAAACTCAATGCAGGTGAAGGAATCACTCGAGATTCTCATGCGTGACGAATTAAGAATAAACAGTTACAGGGTCAATCTTTTACTTTTCACAAAGATTTAATCACTGATTCTCGAAACTATTAAACATTTGGGAGATTAGAATTGTGAAATCGAAATGTGTGTGTGTTCTTACTTCTTGGAGAGGGAGAAGTACGTGCTGTTCTGTTTTCGAGTCCCGCTCGGTGCCTTTGTGCGTTTTATACAGGTGGAAATATTTCCTTCCAACATCAACAGCTGTACTATTTACTATTTACTATTTACCTCAACGTTTTGTGTAAGAACAAGGATGCAAAGATGGGAAATGTAGATATTTTAATCCATATCAACTATCCGGTCATGGCGTTGTCGCCTCTCGAAAATCCTTTCATTTCACCAATTTCGATAAAAATAAACTTCAAAGTCCGACCAATTCCATCCTAAATAGGATGGAAAATGAGGATATTTTAGTCTTCATCTTAGTCGCACGACTTCCACCTCTCGAACATCATGTAAGAAGTTAAGTATAAAAACTTGAATATATGTATACGATAATGTATCTCTAGGTTAATTCATAATTTGGAAAATTCAAACAAGCTCATAAAACAGCGATTAATTCAAGAGGTTGCCACTGAATCGGAATTTGAGAAATCTTGCTTCGTGACGAAGCTTTTAGTAATGCCAATGGCTTGGCGGGCCAAACTTGCCCTCGTGAAATTTGGTGAAGGAATCGAATCTCGAAGGTAACTGACAAAACTATCTACTATCTCTTTAAGATCAAAGTGACTATTTTCCGCAATACTTATTTTAGGTTTAATATTTTTGTCATTTTCATAAATTTTAAAAATATTTATAGTAAACATTCAATATAGTAATGTCACGTGGAGATGGCTTGGCTTGATTAGATATTTTCGTCGACTTGTGCAAAAAGTGACTTAGTCATTGGCCAATCCGTACAAAACGTATTTAACTTGATTTTTATCTCTAAGAGAATCTCTAATGCATTTTGTAGATTGCAATCTATGTGATATTTAAATAGACGAATTTCGAATTGACGTGTCATTGATGTCTAATAAATAAACGATCAAGTCTAAAATTTGATCTACAATGGGTTATGTCTATACAGTAATATTTTTCGTGTATGTGTATTTTATTGAATTGAAATAAAATAATAAAATGTAGTGGAAAAGAAAGAAAATCTAATATAATAAATACAGAACCGATGTCAATTAAAATTACTAGGTCAACATATCCAACTGGTCAATTTTTATATTTATTTTAGGGAGAGGTTAGGAGAGAGAAGGTACCTATCCTCGAATATTGACCTTGGTTGTAAAAACAACTATCTTTTATCGTGCTAGGACAAGGTAAACTATTCTCAATTCAAATTTTGAAAAAAATAAAAATAAAAACAACTATCTTTTATCATGCTAGGATAAGGTAAACTATTCTCAATTCAATTTTTAAAAAAAAAAAAATTCTCTAGAAATTTAGTTGTTGCCAACTCATACTTTAATGAATTCAATTAAAACCTAGCTGTCTCCAACTTAGATTTTAATACATTCTGTTAAATTTAGGTGTCCTTAATAAATAGTGAATTTCTAAGGATTTCACTAATTAAAAGGGATTTAATGTTATAAAACAATGAGATAATTATTTATGATTATTTAGTATTATCATAATACATAAATAAGTCTTATCTAGTTTAAAAGATATATTTTATTCTAATTGTAATCGTAACTTTTATTTTGAACCCTATAAATATAAAACATTGATTCTTAATAATACATGTTGGCCACCGACCTCCGATCTCATTAGAATCATTTATCGGCCCACCTTAGGCAGACGTGAATTCGGCTATAAACTTCAGCTCGGTATACTACCGACGTAGTCTCAAGGGACATAATAATTTCATCTTGTCACATCACCTTCTCAATCACATACACTTGTAAATGGTGATGTCATCACCACCCAAAGTCACCAATCAAGGCCCCGGATCTCCAATCTCTTGCATGTCATCATTACTTGAGAAGAACATTGACACATGGCAATTGGCCTCATCAACCGATCACAAGAGAATTCTACAATCCGACTTCTGAGCTTGGTCCTATAGCTGATTTGATTGATTTGATGTAATTTCTGCTGAAGTCATATATAAATAGTAGGGAAATGGTTCTCTTAAGAACAAGAAGAAATTTTCTTACTAACACCTTACACAATTTAGTTTTCTAAACACACATTTTAGGCCTTTTTCATAAAAAAGAAAGATTGTCCTTTTTCTTAAAGTTGACTCGAGATTAATCTTTACAAATTTTGATATCAACAGCTTGGCACTAGAAGGAGGGCCCCGTATTGTGAAAAATAGCCAATCCTCCCTACAAAAACAGGAGTCATGAGTCGTAGTTCTAATACCAGAAATCAATCTCATACTCGTCCCTATGAGACCAATACTATGCCTAGTTCCCAAGACAACAAGACCAAAATCAAACAAACGACCCGCAAATGACCGCTATTGGGGAAGCCCTGGAGAAGCTGACAAATGCAGTTGGCCAATTGGAACAAAACCAAGCCCACTTGTCCCTACCAAACACCGAGGTGGATTCCCCAGAGAGGACAAGGGCCAGACATCTCTCACCAGAAAGACCTTCCACTTCCTAAGAAGAGAATCCTCCAGAAGTCGAACTGACGAAGTTAGGAGCCAGGTCCCTGTAATGGAGTTGTCACTAGTAGAACTAGCAGTGTTTTGATAGATTGGGAACTCAACATTCGCTAACCCCTACGTGAAGCCACGCTGAACTTGACCTAAAACGTCCTTTGGAGCGAGCAAAGCCCGAAATGAATGCCCTGAAAAGACGCATCGCTGACCTGAAGGCCAAAAACAACGGCGATACGGAAGACTACCTCACCAAGCGGCATTTTCCTTTCACTGAAGATGTCTTTATCGAACCATTGCTTGAAAAACTGAAGATTTGCTAGATGACCGCATATGAAGAAGAGGGAGATCCCCTTAGCTACCTTGATAAGTACACCTTGTGGATGGAGCTACAAGGGGCAAGTGATGCCATCATGTGCTTGGCTTTCCTCCTAACCTTGGGAGATAAAGCTCAAAGGTAGTTCAGAAGATTGCATCAGAGGTCGGTAAAAAATTAGAACGACCTGGCCACAGTATTCCTGGCCCAAAGCCAGGACTATACTCAAGGAGCGGTTGGTGAGCATAAAGTGAATCCTTTAAAAACTATCTAAACAAATTTAACAAACAATCCATAGAAGTGGAAAAGATATCTGATGACGTCGTACTTATGGCCGTACTCATCGGGTTGAGGCCCAAAACAAGATTTCGGTTGTCAGTGCATGAGGACGGACCTAGAACTTACGACGAGCTCCTGAACTGAGCAGAGAAATAATAAGCCCTGAGGACATAACCTCTGATAAAGAGGAAGCCAGATGTGATCCCGATCTTAGCAATACGACGAAAAAGAAAAAGTCGGATAAGAATTCTCAACCTGAACGAAGGAAGGATAGGAGAGAAATGAATCGTCCTAAGACTCAATCGTACAGGTTTCGAGAGTATTACCCACTGAAAGCCTCCTTAGAGGAGGTATTCATGCAAACTGGCGAGAAAGAAGCATTTCGCAAGCCGATGTCCCAAAAGAATGAGCAGGGGGATACCACCAAGGGCGATACTGTTGATATCATAGGATGGTAGGACATGACACCGACAGTTGCTAGGAGTTGAAAGAGAAAGTTGAATCCTTGATTCGTAAAAGACGGCTAAACCAAAAGAGGTAGACCGACCTCAACCAGAATAGCCTCAGGAGCAAGGGCCTGATGCATGAACTCAACAGGCAGTTCCTAATCTTAATCCATCCCCACAAGCCGAGATTAAAATGATGGTCGAAGGAAATCAGTATATTGAAGGATCCAGAAGGGCAAGGCGCAGACAAGCCCAGAATGCACAAATTTTGTTGAACTATGAAGAACGAACCCCACAGATCGATATAGATCGTGAATGTTTTGGTTCACGGAGGAGGACTCCCAAGGGATCCTCCAGGATCAGAGTGATGCCTTAGTAACCACCATGCCAGTGACCAGGACGAAAGTACATAGGACGTTGGTAGACAACAGGAGTTCAATCAAGATACTGTACTCACCAACCTTAACACAGTTGGAAATATCGGAGCACTACCTTCAGCCATACCCAAGAAAACTGCAGGGGTTCTCAAAAGATCCTATCGAGGCTCGAGGTCAAATTGTACTCATTGTAGAGTTGGACGAAGCTCCTTGCCAAAGAAGGATTCTAGCTGATTTTGTGATAGTTGACCTGTCATCCAATTACAATGCCCTATTAGGATGGCCTATATTGCACGAGCTAAAGACCACCACATCAATTTATCATTACTGTATGAAGTTCCCCACTACCTATGGGACTAGAATTGTGCAAGGAGACCAAGCTGAAGCTAGGACGTGCAATATCGACATGCTCAAACCTCAGATCAACATGCTAAGGGACAGGCCAAGCGCACGAGTTGGGGAAGCTAGATTAAAGAGGCCTATTGTTGCAGATCTCTTCGAGATCGGCATAACGGAAAAGCACCTCAAGAGATCCACAGATGACTAACTATCCTGGGTCTTGGTAGTCTATATACCTATGGTGAAAGTAACCATCCCAAAGGTCTTGGTTAACACAGGAAGTGTTATCAACATTCTCTTCAGCAACACTCTCAAATGGACGGGCATACCTGCCAACTTCCTACGACCATACTCTGATATGGTCATTGGTTTAAGTGGAGCGCTGACCACAGATAAGGGGTCAATCAAGCTCATCGTGAGGTCAAATCAGGGCCTCATCAAATCAGAATGAATTTTGAGTTCACGGTATACGACACTCCGTCGCCGTATGATGCTATCATGGGACAACCCTTGATATTCAATTTGAGAGTAGCAGTTTCCATCTACCACTATTCGATCAAATTTCCATGCCTCATGGTGTAGGCGAAGTCAAAAGAAATAGGAAAATTGTCGAAAGATGTCAATTGAAAGCCTATACTAGCCATCAACGCACTTCCCCTGGAGTGTATATGGCCCGCACATGGGAACCCGAACTCAGTTCAGGAGACCCGCATACAAAAATTGAATGAGGATAACCCGTGGAAGAATTGGAGGGAATGCAAGTTTGTGCTGACGACCCATCAAAAGAATTCAAGACAGAAAACGTGTAGCGGCCTTTGATCCGAAGTAAAGTTGTGAATCTTCTC